TTACTTAGCTCACCTGTGAACACAATGTGCCTAATCACTTGAGCAATACATATATATATATATATATTTAAACATTAAATAATATTATAACTCTACTGTGAATGTGCAAGTAGGGAAAGGAATATGAATGGGAGGTAGGATGAGTGCTAAGTCCTCAACTTGCATATTAAAATTAGTGGATAATGTTTAAATTGCTTAATCAAAATAGGCAAACAGAACACAGGAAAGTAAACAGCAGAAGAGCTGGAAGAGTTGAAAGCATTTGGATAATGATAACTGGGAGTCAGCCAGATGAGGAGACTGCAGGCTGATCTGACATTTAGAATTATGCATATGAATTACTTTAGTAATTCTTTAGTAAATAAAAAGTAGAAAAAAAGCATCTAGACTTTCTTAAGCTCATTCATTCCTCAGTGATAGCAGGTTTTGTTGAGAGTCCCAAGTGACACTCCAGAAGGTCCTTTAATACTGAGGTTCTAAAGAAAATTTTTTGTCTCCTATAAAGGTTGAATAACAAAAGAATATTTGTTGTTACTGTTCTTGATGAGGTAAATCACTTTGAAATTAACTTTTTTTAAGTCAAACTTTGACTAGAAATTAGAAGTAGTAAAGCAACAATTTTAATAGCTCTTGCTCATATCATTTATATCTTCTTATTTTTAGCTAATCATTTATTTAACATCGATGCCAGAGTTAATTTCCTTTACTCCAAGAATAATTTTTAAAAGTCAGAAAATTTTTGATAAATTATAGTAAGAATCTTTCTTGAATCCAGAAGCCATAAAACAGGGCCACTGCATAAGATTGTACACTTTGTATTCTTCCAAGTGAGTGAAAAGAGGGCTAAGATTTGTTTGCTCACCAAGTCAAGATACCATAGAGCTAAACCTAGGGAGGCCATTGTTTCTCACTGGCTTACTCAGAGAGACTCTTATTTGCAACTGGACCAATCAGAGGATGTGCCTTTTATCACTAAAGATGCTATATATCCTAGGTGTACCTCTGATTGATTTAACTTTCCTAAATAAGGCTCTATTTTGGGGGGTGGGGGTACCAGGGATTGAACTCAGGACCACACGCTTGTGAGGCAGGCAGTGGAACCACTGAGCTAAATCCCCGGCCCCAATAAGGCTCCATTTTAACCTTTTGATCAGTTGCACTTGGACAAACCTATGACATTAGCAGTGCTGAAACCTCTAAGAACACATCCAAGATTTACAGATTGATATTCTATGACAAATGTCCAGTTACTTACCAGGAATGTGTTTCCACAGTGCCCACACACGACCCTTGTACCTTCTGGTTGGACTGGCAATGCAGGCTGAGCTGGTTGTTCTTCAGAAATAAGCATTACTGGACCAAGGTTAATTATGCGTCTACTGTGGAAAGACAAATGAAACAATTTCACTATTCCACAAGTGCACTGAGGGTAAAACCTGCAATGTATGAAAAAATGAATACGTCAATTAAAATGTTATACTTGTAGATTAAATATCAAGCTGTGGATTCAAAAAAATCACAAAAAGCAACAAGTCTTTTGAAAGCAAAAAAATAAATCTTTTTATATTGGAATAGATAGCATATATCATTGCATGGGTCCTAGCCAATGACCCTGGGAACCATTACCTGCCATTTCCAAGTTTTATTAGTTCAAATCAGAAACTGTTCTTATTCCCTATCTAGGAAGGCAAGCTGAGTTTGGCAGAAAACTGCGTAAGTAAAAAAATTTCTATATTAACAAAAAATGAATATGTCATGAAAGTACCAAAGTGCTGAGTTACAACCCAGTTCCTATAAGCAGCCTTGTGCTCCTCCATACCTATTTCATAAGAAATGGAAAGAAAGTAAAATGGAAACTACCTTTCCTTTGTTTCTCCAATCTATCATCAAACAGGACTATCAGGATTCAGGCAATCATCCAAAAAGACAGAGAAACCACAGAAGAAAACCATAGTTAGGGGGTTTGTAGACTTGTACCAAAGCACATTGATAATGGAATTGGGTATAGGAAAATAATTCCAGAATTTATTATACTCTGTTCAGTAAAGACTAGTATAGCATATAAGAAACATAATGACAATTAAAACATTTCTAGATTAAAATTAACTATATCAAACATAAACTAACTGGTTCTAAAAAAATAAGTTCAATGAGTCACCAATTTATTATAGTGCAAGTACTGCAAAACATAAAGAAAACATCCAATGCTTACTCAATTATATCCTACAAATTGTACCTATGACCTTCAAGTTCTAAGCATATTATTCTTTTAATAATAACAAAAATAACCCTCATCTAGATGCTGTAATAACTTTGAGGACAAGGATCTAGAACAGAGCATTACATATAATGAGCCTTTAATAAATATTTGTTGAATGAACAAATGAATGAATCTTTATCTCTTACCAGTTAGGTCTCGGACATCCTATTCGCCGAGATGTGTCCTTACAAATGAGGAGACAATTACAAGGGCATCTAACATATTTCTTCCCTGTTGGGGGGTTTTTGATTGGCTAGATAAGGGAAGAAAATGTAAACAGAGAAAATTAAACAAGGTAAAGATTGTCAAAGTTTGTTTGTGTTTAAGAAGGAAATGATTCCTTTAAAACTAGTTTCCTGTAGTGTTACCAAGTACACTGTAAGAAAAAGTGCATGTCGAGTGGTTTTTAAATAGCACAAATGTTGTTAAGCATTTTGAAATTTTGGGGAATGATAAAAATTTAATTATTATGAGTATATTTCAAAATTACTTTGTATAGGTGTCTTAATATGAGAGAAACATATCCCACACACCAGTTGTTTTGCCAAAGTTCACAAGACAAGGTCATTTAACAGGCCAGGTACAACCACTCAGAGGATTCTTGTACCTGTCCAGGAAGAGCAAGCTCGATAAGAATTGCAGAGGAGTGTTCCATTTCACTAAATGGGTCTTTGATCCATTTTGATTTGATTGAGTGCAGGGCAAGAGATAGGGGTCTTGATTTGTTCATCTGCACCTGGATAATCACTTTTCCCAGCACCATTTGCAAAAGAGGCTCTCTTCTCTCATATATGTTTTTGGCCTTTGTAAAAAATCAGAGACTAAAAGTGCCTGGGGTTGTTTCTACATCCTCAAATCTATTCCAGTGATTCACAGGTCTATTTTTGAGCCAGCACCATGCTGTTTTAATCACTGTAACTTTATAGTATAACTTGAAATCTAAGATTGTAATGGTTCTTGCTTTACTCCTGCTCAGAATCACTTTGGCTATTCTGGGTCTCTTCTGATTCCATATAAATTTTTCCCAGTTCTATGAAGAATGCTGGTGAACTGCATTAAATAAATAAATATATATATATAAAAACATATAATTGCATTAAATAAACTATATATAATATATTGGCATTGGGCATAGGTGAATAATTCCAGAATGTATTACTTATGCTCTGTCCAGCAGAAATTAGTATAGCATATAAAAAACACAATGACAAATAAAACATTTCTGGGTTAAAATTAACTAATCAAACATAAACTAACTGGTTTGATATATATTACATTATAATTTAGGGTAACATAGCCATTTTGATAATACTGGTTCTGCCTATCCAGGAACAGGAGATACTATCCCATTTTCTAATGTCCTTTTCAATCTCCTTTTTCAAAGCATTATGATTTTTCTTACAGAGGTCTTTCACTTCCTTGGTTAGGTTAATAAGTAGGTATTCAATTTTTTTGTAGCTACTGTGAATAGGATTGTTCTGTTGATTTCTTTCTCAATAGGTTCATTGTTAGTGTATAAGAACAATATTGATTTTTGTGTATTGATTCTGTATTCTGCTACTTTGCTGAATTTATTTATTAGTTCTAAGAGGCTTCTGGTGGGGTTTTGGGTGTCTGCTACACAGAGGATCATGTTACCTATGAATAAGGGTAGTTTTCTATTCATATCTATTTTATTTGTTTTTCTTGCCTAATTGCTCTGGTTAAAGTCTCAAGTAATGTATTAAACAGAAATTGTGAGAGTGGACACACTGGCCTTGTTCCTGATTTTAGAAGGAATTTAGAAGTTTTGCTCCAGTTTGCAAAAACATCCTGAACAGAAACCCAATTGCAATACGAAGAATCCACACATGGAATTAAATTAAGAAGCCCTGAAGAGCAAAAGAAACAACTCACAGAATGAAAAAACAACCTAAAGAATGGAAAATGGTTTTGCCAGCTACTTCTCAGACAGAAGATTAATATCCAGAATATATGAAGAATTCAAAAAATTAGATGTTCCCAAATAAAGGACACAACCAAAAAATGGGCAGTTGAAGTAAACAGACACTTCTCAAAAGAAGTACAAATAGTCAATACGTGAACATAAAAAATGTTCAGCACTTTGGCCATTAGAGAAATTCAAACCAAAACAACACAAAAATTCCATCTTAAGAAAGAATAGTTACGAATAAGAACTCAACAAGCAACAAATGCTGGAAATGTTGTAACATAAAAGGAACCCTTCTACATTGTTGGTGAGAATGTAAACTAGTACAACCACTAAAGAAATCAGTATGGAGATTCCTCAAAAAACTAAAAATAGAAATTCCATTTTGTCCAGGTATACCTCTTCTAGCTATCTTCTCGAAAGAACCAAAGACATTACACTACAGTGCTACATGCATGCCCATGTTTATAGCAGCATAACTCACAAATAGCTATATAGCAGCAGATGACTAGAGAAAATATGTCTTATATATACAATGGAGTAATACACAGCCATGAAAGGTAAACTTGAGTCATTTGTAGGAAAATGAATGCATCTTGAGACCATAATGCTAAATGAAATAAATAAAACAGAAGGTTAAATATTGCATAGTTTCTCCTATTAAAGAGCAAAACAAAAGACAGATGATAGGGAAATAGGCAGATAAGACTTTGTGGAGATGGGAAGAGGACTTGAGGGTAGAGAGACAGGGAAGGGCAGAAAAGAGAAATAAAGATAATTAAGGTGTAATGTGTGTATGTACCCCATGTAGTAAATATATACATATAAAACATAGTGGAGGAGTTCATTATACATTCAAACTTTTCTTAAACTTTACTCAATAGAATATAAGAAGTAGTTAATTTTATGACATACTTTAACTTAAAAACTTGTCATTAACTCTTTTTTTTTTGATACCAGGGATCAAACTCAGGACCTTGTACTTTTGAGGCAGGCACAGCGCCAGTGAGCTAAATCCCCAGCCACTGTAATTACTTTTTTTTGTAATTACTCTTAACTAGCATTTCTTTAAAAAAAAAAAACAAAAACTTTATAGTAAATTTAAAAGAAAGAATAAATAACATCATAGAAAACATTCCTTGAAATACTAGATCTTAAGCTTGTTTTTAAATAATCTATAATACACTAAAATGAACAGAACATCACTTCCGTGGCATTCTGGCCAAGAATGTATAACTTGAAACTGCCCATGTGGAAACATCAAACAAAGTCAAACTGAGAGGCATTTTACAAAATATCCTGCTGTACTCTTCAAAAAATTAGACAGAAAAAGCTGGTTTCAAGTAAAAGGACACTAGAGAGATGAAAAGCAAATGCAACATGTGATCACAGTTTGACTCCAGGTGGAGAATTTTTTTTTAATGAGACACTAACGGGACAATTGGGAAACATGAATTACTTCAAAAGATAAGACAATACTATACCAATGTGATTTCCTACATTTGACAATTGTACTATGATTGTATAAGTGAATATCCTTGTTCATAGGAAACATACAATAAAAAAGATTAAAGAGACAAAGCCACTGTAGTAAAATGCTAACATTTGAGTAATATGAGTGATGGGCATATGAGAATTTTTCATACTATCTACTGATGGTCCCTGAATTATTCAATGGTTTGACTTGTGCTTTTTATTTCTCCATAGTGTGAAATTGATATGCATTCAGTAAAAATCATACTTAGAATTTTTATTTTTCTAGGCTAACAATTTCTTGAGGTGCTGGGTGGAGTGGCAGCAAGCCACAGTGATAACAAGGAGAACCGACCCATAGTGTAGAATGTGCTATAACCTAGGATGATGAGCAGGTTCAATGTACTGACTGCATTTTCAACTTACAATGTTTTCAGTTTTAAATGGGCTTTTTTTTTTCTCTTAAATTCTTTTATTGGTACATTTTAGGTATACGATACATTTACATTCATCATTGGGAATTTTTTTTTTGTAGTACTGGTGATAGAATCCAGGGGTGATTTACTGCTCAGCTTAGCAACTCCTTTTTTATTATTATTTTCTTTTGAGACAGTCTTGCTAACTTGCCCAGGCTAGTCCAGAAGCTCGGAACCACAGGCCCAGCCAAAGGCCCGCCTAGAAAAGAGCTGTACAGGCAGGCGCACAAGCAACAGTCAGAGGCCCATCCCCATTCCATCTGTAAGTGTGCACAGATCCCAGGGAGAAGCCCTCAGGGATCCGAGGAGCAAGGCTGCAGGCAGGTCCTAGCCCTGCCCTGACCACAGTAGCTTGGACCCAGAGGCCCAGCCAAAGGCCTGCCTGGATAAGAGTTGTACAGGCACACAAGCAACAGCCAGTGGCCTGCCCAGATACCAGTAACTAGGGTGCACAGACCCCAGCCAAAGGTCCTCCCAGACAACAACTACATAGCGGGGCAGGCCCCAGCAAGAGGGACGCCCAGACAACAGGTCAGCTCATGGATCGAGAAGGCAACCATTCTGAAACCAGGAATTGGCTCAGGAGTAAGCAGCAGAAAAAAGGGCTGCTCGGTGGCTTGCTGAGAATTGAAGACCACTGGGTGAGCAAAAAGGTGCCTCAAAAAAGGTGCAGCAGGCTGCATCTGTTGAAATGAGAAGACACATAAACAAGTCTCAAAAAAAGACTTCCACATTACCTAAGGCAACCCCAAGGGGCAAGGAGATGGAACAATCTGATACTCAACCATTTGGACACCCTGAACTGGCAACAAAAGAGGATCTGGAAAAAATGAAATCAGAAATAATTTCTCAAATAGATTTCTCAAATATGGATTGTGTCCATAGTGCAAGACATGATTAATAAATCTAGAGTAGACACAGATAAAAAAATAGAGGAGCTGAGGAACATGATGGAATCCCAACATAGGAAACAAATGGAATCCATAAAATAGATGCAAACAGATTTTTAGGAGATTAAAAACTTCATTGAAAGTTTACACAGCAGAATGAGCCAATGTGAGGACAGAATTTTGGATACAGAAGACGGGATTGGAAAAAATGTCTTAAAAATAGTAAGGGACCATGAGAAATAAATCCAGCAGCTGCTAGATGATGCAAAGAAGAATAACATAAGACTGATCAAAGTCAATGAAGAAACAGGAGAGAGTGCAAACGACACAGAAATAACTCTTCACAGAAGTAATGGCAGAAAACTTCCCAAGCAGGGGGAAAGAATTTGACATACAGAGAAGTGAGGCATATAGGACTCCAACTAGCTAGCCATGATCAAAAAAAAATCTACACCTAGGCATATAATAGTGAAGACTCCAGAAACCCAACAGAAGAACAAAATTCTACAAGTAGTTAGAGAAAAGAAACAAATCACATACAAAGGAAAGCCCATCAGAATCACAGCAGACTTCTCAACACAAACTCTCAAGAAAAGAAGAGCCTGGAGTGAAGTATTTCAAGCCCTAAAGAAAAACAACCTCCAAGCCAGATTGATGTACCCTGCAAAACTATCTTTCAAAACTGATGGAGAAATAAGATATTTTCATGAAAAAGAGCACCTGAGAAACTTCATGAATATCAAACCAGCACTCCAAAAAATCTTAAACAATATCCTAGGAAAAGACAATGAGGATCACAACCCTAGGAAGCCCATCAGAATGAATCCATCAGGCATGACAAGAAATTAAATGCAAAGGGGGAAACTTCAACAAAAAGAAAAAGTCATGACAAGGCTAAGTCAATACATATCAGTTATAACCATCAATGTTAACAGTCTCAATTTGCCAATCAAAAGAAACAGACTTGCAGAATGGGTCAAGAAGCAAGATCCAACAATATGCTGCATACAAGAAACACATTTAATTCAAAAAGAAACTCAAAGACTGAAAGTTAAAGGGTAGAAAACAATACTCCAAGGGACAGGAACCTAAAAAAAAGCAGGAGTAGTTATCCTATTTGCAGATCAAATAGATTTCAAACCAACACTAATTAAGAGGGACAAAGAAGGACACTATGGATTCCTTGTAAAAGGAACAATTTAAGAGGAAGAGATGACAATCATAAATATATATGCACCAAATATTAGTGCACCCAACTATATTAAACAAGTACTAACGGACATGAAAAATCAAATAAGCACTAATATAATAGTAGTAGGGGACCACTGTCACAAATCGATAGATCAACTACACAGAAAATAAATTGCCCAGGCTGGCCTGAAACTTGTGATCTTCCTTCCTCAGCCTTCTGAGTAGCTTAGAGTACAGGCATGTGCTACTAAACTAACTCAGCTATGATCAGGTCATTGGCACATAACCCCACTGGAAGTTGAGGCTCATATGTATATAGTATTTTGGGGGGAAATTTTGTGTGCATGTAATAATTTTTTAAAATATTTAAATAAGTCCAAATAAACAATGTTGATAGAAATATATAAAGGTTAGCAATATGCCACCTATGATTTACAAAACTATATTACACAGAAATAAATCTTAATATATAAAATTCACAATGGGGCCAGGGATTTAGCTCAGTGGCACTGTGCCTGCCTTGCAAGTGCAAGGTCCTGAGTTCGATCCCTGGTACCGCAAAACAACAACAACAACAAAAAAAACACAAATATCCAGAAAAAAAAATATATATAGGAACTAAATTATCCAGAAATATACAATTGGGTTAAGTTTGTATATTCAAAATTTACTATTACATAAGTGCAGACTTGACAAATGACAGGATTTGTTATTCTATATCATTCCCATCCCACTTCTAATCCTTAGTTTCCTCCCTTACAACATAAGACAGATGAACTAGATTTCAAGCACCAACCTCAGTAAATGCCTTGTCATGTCTGGCTGCTTGATCTGCTGTGAAGTTGGGGGATAGGGTGGGGCATGTCAGTATATATAAGTTTTGAAATTCTTAGTTGGCAAAATAAACTTGTATATGCTGGGCACTGAGTAGGTATTAGTGTTCTTAGGCTACTTCACATGAGAAAAGCAGTTTTACAGAAGTGAAGGCCCCAAGAAAATACAGCTACTAAATAGCACAGCAAGGACTCAAACCCCTGTGTCAGCCTCCAAATCTCAGGCTTCTAATCAGTTAGAGTTGTCTAGTCGTACTCTTTCTCAAGGACTTCTCAAATTTTCCATTAACTTGTCCTGGAAAATCATTTCTCCTTTAACCTTAAATTCTGTATTTATGTGTCTTGCCAAAATTTTTCTATTCATTCTTCCCCTACCTGTCACACACATACCTTACTTTCCAATTCATTCTGCTGAAATGAAAAAGACTTTATTAAAACCCTGTTTTTTGTTTTGTTTTGTTTCTTCATCTCTACGAGTGTGTCAGGTTCCTATCAGAATGGCTGCCTGGGAGGACAGATAAACCAATACTTGTTTTAGATGATGTGAGGAGAATAAATCAGTAGAACTCAACAGGGGATGGGCAGAGGAAATGGGCACAAGGGAATTTCTCTGTTGGACCCTAGACCATTACATGTGTTTATTTTCAACCTGGACGTCCTCCAGAAAAGCCCCTAGTTTCCTAACACTTCTTCAATTACAAATTTAAGATGAAGTAGAGATTAGCAGGGGAAGGGAGGGTAAAAATGATCAAGATTCTATATGTATATGTACCAATTCCCTGAGATGAATATAATTGATTATGTAGCATAAACATACTAATAATAAAAAGTAAACATTAGCAAGTTGCATATTAAGGCACTCGACATATTAAGGACAAAGTACACATTTGCAATAAAGTCTAATATATTTTCATCTCAGTGAAAATCAGAATGAATTTAGGTGTTATGTAGACAGATACTAAAGATAATTACAGATAACTGTCATAGCCAGTTTTATTTTAGTAAGCAAAGAGCCCAAGGACACTATACTTATATTCATTATAAAAAAATTCGAATGAGATTAGTTTAAACACATGGAGTCATCCTTAAACTATAAAAGTGAGACAGAAGAAACAAAGGACAAAAGAAGACTGTCATATTTGTACCCAGCCCATATCTGCTCTTAAGTAACATTACAAAAGAACTTCCTTTAGGACTAAGATGTCAGATAACAACTTATGCTTTTTAAAATGGAAATCTCCACTTACCGTAGCTTCATTGCAAACCGTGCATTTAACCACATGTTGGTGAAGTTTGCCATCCAAATTGATTAGAGATTGGCACACGCGGCAGTTGATTACAGGAATACCACTGGCATCTGGACTGGCAATAGCTGTATATGGAGGTGGGAGTTCTGCTGCCAAAATATTAGTCACGGAATTAGAGCTTTCAAGAAATTACTACACCTAGTAGGAGCATATAAGCAATAGACGTAAAGAAGAAATTATCAAAATTCCCCGTATTTGTTTTTAAAGCTAGCCAACTTACCCTAGTTTCAGAACATAAACATACATAGGATTATGTTATCATAGAGAATAATTCTTCACTGTGACAAAATCCTAATCTTGTTTGCTTAGGGCTTCCCCAGTGATTCAGGTTTTTTCTTAACCTATATTTAAAACACCCATTTCATTCCTGTGGGTTAATCCAAAGAACCAGTAATAAAAGAGTTGTGGTTTATACTTAAACTAAAAATCTTACACTAGTAATGACTACCAATACATCAAAATGATCAACAAAAATGAAGTTTTAAGATCACTTATACATATACATAAATTGTGAACTACCATGCTGTCCCTGTATAGTGGGCCAAGATAATGACTCTGGCTGTGACAAGAATTTGGAGGCAGTCAAAGATAAACAAAAATGAACCAAGGAAAACTGAACTTATCACTTGGAACTAAGTGAGAACCTGCTGATTTCAGATTTAAAACAGAAATGAAGTAAATTTAACAATTTTGAGTCTCAAATTTCCATTTGCAATTAATAATCTAAAAAATACACTGAGTATCCATTGGTAAAAAATGTGATTTCTAGTATTAAGTACTCGAGGAACAAGCACAATAAATGAATATAATGATACATAAGGTCATACTGCTCATCCTACTTTTATGAATGTTTGAAAATTCCCACTCCAAGTGTGAAATGAAAGACACACACAAATGCACATATGCGGCTATTTTGGATTTTTTTCTTCTGCTTTTTTTACTTCTAGCAGTCTAAGGCTGACTGAATGAATAAAGGATGAGACCTAATTTCAGAATCAAGTGCATCTATCAGAACTGTAGATTAAAAAAATTGAAGAAAAAAGAATTCTCATGTACTCTAGAATAGAATTTCTAAAAGGTGACTGCCTAATCATTTTTTATAGCTACAAGGAATGATAAAAATTCAATAAATGTTTACATTTTACAAATTTTATTACAGTAAAAGACACATGAACATTAATCCCCCTCAAAATACTCCCCTTTACTTCAAACATGCTTATGCCAACATTCTTGTCACTTTCTGAAGCAGCTCTGGAAGTCCTCTTTCATGGTATCTTAAGTTGAGCTGTCATGTGTCCTGAACTGATTCAAAACTTACATTTCCTTGTCATTTTGACTTTGAGGAAGAGCCAGAAGTTTTGCAGTGCCAAATCAGGTGAATAAGGTTATGATCCACAGTAATGTTTCTATGACCCTATCTTTCCACAGAATGGCAATCAGCAGCAGCATTCAGCATAGTTTTCATCACACCTTGAAAGACACTCAAGAAAGAGAACTTCCAGAACTGCTTCAGAAAGTAGCAAGAACATGTGTTCCAAGGAGAAGAGAAGCATATTGAGTCCGGTTAATGGTAATGTGTCTTTTATTATAATAATTTTTAACATTTAAACATTCACTATATATTTTGATCATACTTTGTATCTCAATTATAAGGAGAGAAATTCCTTTTTTTTTTTTTTTGTACCGGGGATCAAACTCGGCTCCTTGCACTTGTGAGGCAGGCAGCAGAACCACTGAGCTAAATCCCCAGGCCAGAAATACCTTTTGATATAAGGTATTATCTGAGGACATTTAGAAAGGGCCATGCCCTACACATGTTGAAGTACTACTTAAAAAAATACTGATTAACTCATGGGGCTTCTATAACACTACGAAACAATCATAATAGCTAATCATGCAAAAAGTTGTTTTTGAAATAGAGGTTCTCTATCCATTGTATGAGGTTATAATTCTGTGATATTTTTAGTGTCAGAGCATAATTCAATATAGTATATTTAAAATCCACATATATTATCTATTGTGGTATCCTCTCAGTTATCATATAGATTGTTTTTAGACTGCAAAGGATTAGCAACAAGTGTTACTCACCCAAATGATCATAAGCTGAATTTATAGAGTAGCCAAGGCTCTGAAACAAGCCACTTAGAAATGACAACATGCTTACAGTTCTGGCAGCTTAAACCAGAATACTGCCAAACATTGAACTTGAAGAGAAGTTATACACATTTTAAATTACAAAAATAGCTTTAAATCCTTTAAAGAATGTGAGTTAGATCCAGAGTGACCTGTAATGTATTAATCAAGAAGACAAAAACAGATTAAAGGAACAACGAGTTGACAGTATATCTTAGGCTTTGCCATTTGCAGATAGATTTGTCAGATGTCAGTATAGAAGACATTGTTCTGGGGAAAAGAGTACATATCTCACTAGAAGTGCAAGATACCCTACCTCATTTTTAATAATTATTAGCAATAATTAGCATTCTTATAAAAGTTGATTTCCTCTCTTGGCTTTCTTTTGAGGTATAAAGTAACATGAAGTCTTTCTCCCATAATCTCAAGTCTTCACGTTACGGAGAATAACAGAAAAGAAAAATGTTAAAGACAAGACAATTTCATTAAAAGAAAAGTGCCTGAGGGGATGAAGGGAGAAGGCAACACATTGCAACTGCATTAGAGGGCCCTGAAATCCATCCACTCTGACAAGCACAGCTTTGTTCAAAGGACTGTCCTATGAAAATGTCAGTGGGTAATCTTAAAAATCATTTGAGGTGCATTAGAGCCTAAAAAACAAAACAAAACAAAAAAACCTGAAAATTTTTCCTCTGGATTTCAGTACATAATTTTTAATCTGTCAAAAAAGAAAAGCCTTCATTGACAGAAAATATGTTCGATTCTACTGGAGACTTGAAAAGTGGAGGCAGGGGGACAGAAGTATCAGTGAGGATCCAAATTTTAAAATGGAAGAGACTAAGCTCCATGAAGCCAAGGGCATATCTGGGGTGTGGACTGATTCACTGCCACTTGTAATTCTAGGTCTACGAAAGCTTCTTAATAAACATTTACTCAATGATTGAATGAAAGAGTAAATCATTGAAATTTATTAGATACATCTGTCTAATAACACTAAGTATATTACCACTAGTCTCCTCGCAGGAGAATGTAGCTAGGCTGAAAAAAATGGCTCTTTTCTGCACAAAAGATTATTCTCTCCAAAATACGCACTGAGACAGGTTAGGTAGTCAGAGAACATTGGCCTGGGCACCAGATAAATGGAATCTATCCAAGAGATCAATAGAATGGCAGATGCCATAGCCTAATTGCTCCATTAAACAGTGCTTCTAGGCCTTTCATTTCAATTTTCTGCCCCCTACTTCAGCCCTAAGCCAATTTAGAGATATTTTTTCACTTTTGGCTTTTCTTTCCACAAAGGGAACCTTTACCTGCACCTCTTCTCTGGTAAGGGACTTATAATTCCAGTTAGTAAACCTATAATAATTAGCAATTTAGATCTGTTCATTTTCTTCTACTTTAAGACAGTCAACAGATCACCACTACTGTACCTATTTTGAATTTCTGCATTAGAAAAGCTCACTGTAATCTCAGAATTTGAGATCATTAGATATGCAGAGTCACAAAAATTCTTCATTTGGAAGAATATTACTTATTACTTAAACCATAGTCATTCTCTCTGGGGGTTTTTACCTCTAAATGAAAAATCCTTTACTTCCATGTGGGTAGATTTGTTAAGATAGTAATTCTTAATTCTAAAAAATCTCCCATAAAGATCCAGACTTGTACAAAGTTAGAAAATTAAACAACCTTAGGAATTATATAGCTTAATTTCTTCATTTTATGGGAAAGAAAGACCAAAGATTCTGACTGTTGAAGTTTTACATAGAAATTTAGCAAAGCCAAGCTCTGACTCCTGTCATGGAGATCTCTACACAATAACAGCTGCCTCCCTGAATAAGTAATGACATAATGTAGGGAAAAGATGTAAAGATTAATGAGGCAGCTCTGCAGAAACAAGCAAAAATCTGATAGTGACCATTTCTGGAAAAAACAGATCTGTGATAAACAGGATTAAGAAGAAAAGCAGGAAGTCAAGGAAAATAAAAATTTGAGCAGAGTATAAAAAAAATCATTCCATGATTATAAAAACTTCACAGCAAAACAAACTCATAAAAGAGACAGAATGAAAGCAGATGGATTGCAAGGTATACATAATGGTCTTCCTAATACACTCAAAAGGAACCATTATTATGTCTGTAAACCCACAAGTGATCAGATTACATTTTCCCATCACAAACATCAATACAATTTATCTATTTTATGCCAAACAGCTTCTGTTTTGCTAATTCATCCTGATGTATTAATCTATACTTCAGGTTTTTTCCCAGTTACATTCTCCAGCATTTTGAGGGTTGAAATTGCTTTGCTGGGTTCCTCTGACTTTTATTGCCTTAGTTACTCCTTTATAAGTCTCTTAGTAGCAATATTTGCCAGTTTAATTCACTTGCTTTACTCACATATTCTTTACGCTAAGCCCATCGAGCCCTTGACAAAGATGTATCAAAACTGAAAACTGGAGGCAGATTAAAACAAGTGATATTTGGGGATGCTATTATAGCAAAAGTAGCCTATGGGGAAAGCATAGCCTTTCCTCCTGCAGTTCCCACTGCAAGGACCCACTTTCCCTCAGTATCTCTGGGAGAGGGTGCTGGGGACATGTCATAACTTGGCCACTATGGGGTGGCTGCTCCTAGTGCCAACAGGAAAAGGAAAGAAGCACTCTCCATTCCTCCTCTTCTCTGAAACCAAAGAAATAAAGCTATTGGAAGGGACTGCTGGGTTCTCCCCAAGCCATGACACTCTACGGAGGACCTATCCAGCAAAAGTCAAAGTAGATCAGTGTGTTAGTGATCAGGTTCCTGACCCCAAACTCTAAATCCATCCTTCTCTGCTCTGCACTGTGATGCTGGAGCTGGAACAATGAAAGCCACGCTTTGGCTTCTCCAGTTGGCTGCTGTCCTCTGCTAACAGGTGATAAAGGGAGGCTGGAAAGCTGGAGAGAGAAGAGATTGTT